GCAATACAGCTTAATTTTAAAATATATATGTTGTCTTACTACCTACTATTAAAAGAAAAATCGTAAAAATTGTGCGTTTTTAAAGATATTTTTCGAATATTTTGATATTTATTTTTATATTTAAAAGATCTAAGTATCTTCATTTTTTAGCTTTAAAACCAGTTGTTACAACATAATTAAAAAAAATATTATTACCTAAATTCAAAAAATGAATAAAAACAATCACAAGTACTTTTTATAATCGCAATACAACTTAATTTTTATATATATGTCCTAATACCTACTATTAAAAAAATTGTACAAATTGTGAGTTTTTAAAGAATTTTTTTGAATAATTTGATATTTATTTTTATATTTAAAAGATGGAAATAAAAAAAAATCAAGCTCTTAAAAAGCTTGATTTTTTTTAAACCAATTGTTACAACAAGATATATAAAAAAAAATAAATTAGGTACCTAAATTTAAAAAATTCAAACCTACATATACCTATATTATAACAATTTTCTCTGGTTACCAGAGATAATGAAGCAACATTTTTCAGGATTAATATAACTTTACAATTTTATAATATTTTAGTAAAATACGATTTCAAACTAAATTATTTTTTTAGGTTTTATTTTTGCTTTCCCTTGTGGTTCTGACCCTAGCCGATCAACCTGAGCCTGAAGAGCCAGTAGAAGTGAAAAAGCCTGTAAAAAGAGGAATTGGTTACGGTTATGGAGGTTATGGCGGATACGGATTAGGCTACGGATATGGTCACGGATACGGATACTATCCATCATATTCATATTACTCACCTGTTAGGTCTTACTATGGTGGTTACGGAGGTAATGATTTAAAATATATTAAACACTACAAGAAACATATTTTTTACTATTTATAAATTTGTTTATCCAATGTTGTATAGGTTATGGATATGGACATGGTATTGGATACGGATATCCATACTATTCTGGATACGGAGGATATGATTGGTGGTAATTTTTTCATTAAATGTAAAACTAAATTTTGTATTAAATATGTGTAATACATTTAATTTGTATATAATGAACAACATAAATAAATTACCTATTTAAAAACATATATCTACTTAATCTTATTTTCCTTTAATCAGTAGCGGTACCATCTTCAGGTCTTATCTGCTGGGCTGCAGTTGCTGTGACCCATTTGTTTGCGACTCACCCCTGTAAAATCTTTATTTTTTGTGCGATTTTAACCGGATTTGTTTTAAAGTATAGATCTTGATAAACTATTTTTGGAACAAAAAACTCAACATTCTTACAAAATACAAGGCCTACTATGTCAGTTTTTAAGAGTAAATTTTTAAGAATTCATATTAGCGATTTTTTTAAACAAAATCTAAGTTCAGCACTGGATTCACCACCCCTCAAAAAGACCCTTTACTAAATTTTATTGGAAAATTTTAAGTAAACAAATGCACAATAATATCTAACTAAAAAAATGTATTCTGTCAAGTTATCCATGAAAAAAACAACTTTTTCAATAAAATTTGTAAAAGGTCCCGTGCTTAGATTTTGTTAAAAAAAATCGCTAATATGAATTCATAAAAATTTACTCTTAAAAACTGACATAGTAGGTAGGCCTTGTATTTTGTACAAATATGTCATTTTTAAAACCGCACAACAAATAAAGATTTTACAGGGGCGAGTCGCAAACAAATGGGTCACACTGTATAGGGGAAGGTGGGGGAATTTTGCGCGGTGGGTAATTTTACGCATAAACAATTCTTCCAGATATGAAGTAAATAATACATTTTTTGAATGTTGCAAACTTGAAAACGTTGCTTTGGGTAAAGTGTACCGCAATTAAGCTTGTAGCTTTTAGCTAGTGACCATGGTCACTAGCTAACTGTGATACATGTACGTTGATCTAAGAAATCCATGTCGTTTCCGCTACGAGTTAAGTTTAAATTTCTGTCCAATCGCTTAAATGTTTATAACACAACTTTATATGATCTTTCCTCGTAATCTGGTGTATGTTTAAATTGTTCAGGTTAACTTTTGGAATGTTTTTTAGTATCACAATATTTTTCTTGCAATGGGGGTAATTTTACGCTGAAAAATTGGGGTAATTTTGCTCTGCAAAATTTGGCCAATATGGGAGCTTTTGGTACAGGAGCCTAGATTGTTCATCATAAACAGTTCCATTTGGGCACACGCGGAGTGTAGCGTAAAAAACAACCCCTAAAACTACATATGTGACAACTGCTGCATGTAGACCCTCTTATTTTTAAGAACAAAAATTTTATTTTTAGTTATTTATTTTTGATCTTGCTTGTTTTGTTTGTTTCATAGAGAAAATAGTTTTGTTTTATTTTTATGTTTTAATATAATAATATTATAGAAATAAATGGTTTATTTAGATACCTACAAATCTTTCTCTATACAGCGCAAATTTTCCCCCTATGATGCGCAAAATTACCCTGATAGGTGGGTAATTTTGCGCAAATGCATTATTTAAAAAAATGTAGTTTTTGCATACCAAACAATTTTTTTTTTATAAATTGCGCATTATATACACATAGTAAACATAGTAGACTATCGCTGGTATTAATTGCAAAATTTCACATTTAAACTTAACAAAGATACTAGAGATTTTGCTTAGATGCGCAGAATTCCCCCACCTTTCCCTATATGTATATATAGTGAGACTCCACGTCTAACTCGCAGCAGAGCAGCAACAGCAGCCCAGCAGATAAGACCTGAAGATGGTATACCATGTATCTCATGTATACATGAGATTGTACCGAAACGTCGTCAGACATACGGTTATTTTAAGAACCAAAAACCGATAACACGGAGCAGATCCCGAAAAACCACTAATACGTATATACACATAATAATAATAATAATAATAATAATAATAATAATAATAATAATAATAATAATAATAATAATAATAATAAAAATTACAAATAGGTTTACAATTAACCATAAATTTGCAATAAATATGCAAATAATCTACAAAGTAAATGTTAAAAAACATTTGTGCGTGCATAAATATAATATAAACCATAATAACAAATAAGTTATAAATGAAAAAGACAAATAAAAAAAAAATTAAAAAAACTCAATTTAAAATTAAACAAAATTAAAAATTTAACAATATTTATAATATGTTTAATTGTTAAATCCATTAGAGCAGTAGTGGGTAAGTTATGTTGTTTATCATCATCAGAGTTTCTACAAGAAATTACATTAGATTTTTTAAAATATAGTTATAAATAAGTAAAAACAAAAGTAGAAAGACTTACACGTCAATGTTAAAAATCCCAATATATACACATTAAAATTATTATTATTGGGTTACTTATCGGCCATTCCAAGCCCATGGACAGGACACATCAGAAACATGTCTAAATATATTCTTGTTACTTCCTTAAGTTTACTTATTTTTTCTACGAGTATTTATGAGAAGTATAAGCCAAATTTGGCTAATACTTCTCATAAATACTCGTAGAAAAAATAAGTAAACTTAAGGAAGTAACAAGAATATATTTAGACATGTTTCTGATGTGTCCTGTCCATGGGCTTGGAATGGCCGTTATATAAATAATAGTTATTTATGTATTAAGGGCATAATAAGGTTTTTATGGTTCGAGGCGCTATTTCGTAGCGTCGTAGGACCATAAAAACCAGTTATGCCAGCAATGCATACAAAACTTTATCTCCACGCGGTCTATAATTTAAACTTTATTGTTGTCAACATTCGATAAAGAAATACCTTGTTATGGCCTAGGCCGATAAAAATTTTTATGAGGCAAGTAATTAGTTCGATTTTTTCTCGCTAGGGGTATTGTTTTGACAAATTAATCCTTATCCAAGAAATTAACGTACTAAACTGGTTTAATTTATTTATAATAAGCACTAATTTGTTTGTTTTACTGTTATAACATTATAATGTTTAATATTTTTCATTAAATTATTGTAAAATTAAATATGAATAATAAAACAAAAAGTGAGGTTAGGACATTGCAATTTGACGTTTCACAGTTGTGTTTTCTTTTTCTACGATTTAAATTATCTTTAAATTTTAATTTGCTTTAAGTTTTCAGTAAAATTAAATGTTAAACACAGCGTAAACATTCCAAACTACCTATTTTTTTAATAAAAATGCAAACAAATTGAAATTAGATACCTATTTATTAAACAATTAATTGAATTCAATGTAATAGCAAGAGGGTAAGTAAACCATTTTCTTACAAAAATCCATTTCTACTTAAATCATGTAGCTAGGTATTGTCAAACTATTACTACTTCTAAAAGGAATAATAATTATTGTACATTTAATGTAATCTTTAGCTAATAAATAAATGAGATTCAAAAAAGTGAGGTTAGGCCGCTTTCATGATGAATTAAATTGACCTATATAAAGTGCTTTGAAGATAAAATGTTGTATGCCATTCGGCCAAGAAGTGTCTTTTTGTGCTTCGCTCAATTGTAGGCCTCCGCTACGCGTCGGCCGTCAAACTTTGAGCTTAGCACAAAAAGCCTTACTTCTTAACCTAATGACATAAATAACTATTATGCACGATTAATATATTATTATTTTTAATATATTATTGTTTTTAAAGACGATTACGTCAAAGAATTTTTTTTATAATTGTTATATTATAATGTCAACTGACATCAGTCAGTTTTAAAGTTTAAAGATGAATGAAATTGAGGAAGCAGCTGAAAAGGCGAAAAATTGCGGCCTGCTGCCGGAAAAATCAAAATCTTTATACGAAAAAACTTACTTCGAATATATCAAATGGTGTAACATTGTTGTTTTTAATTTTTGACGTTTCATTATAGCCCGCTGGATCATAATAACGCCCGCGGGCTATAAAAAGAAGTTTACGTCAAAGAATTTTTGTTATAATATTATGGTCAAGTAACAGCATAGGACACAATTTTTGCAGCTTTTACAGTTTTCCTTTTTAATTTTTCGATCTGATATTTTTGCAGCAGGGCCATCGCATTCTTCTTCCAGTTCTTCTATTTCCTCAACTTCCCCTTCTTGAATAAAAGAGGTGTTATAAGAATCTTGAATTGTTTGTTTAAAGTTTTCTCAGTTGCTAGCAAAGGTATGCAACTCTTCAACAAGTTTTTGTAGTGTTGCTTGGGAATTATATGGTAGCAATTTAAAAGAACTCTCAAAGCATTTGATGGTACTAATGAATTTTTAATATTTATAAAGTTTGTCGGACTGAGGATCGCCATTTTTCTACAAACGTCCATGTTTTTACCAAACCTTTTTTTCATAGATTCAACAGCAGTATCCCTTATGAAATTAAAAAATGGCACTTTAAAAGCTTCATTAGGGTTACTTGGCCCTTCGTTCCTTGATTTTTCATCAAAAAATTGTTTTCTTCTAGGTGTTTTTTCTCTCTTCTATATTAAGATTTCTGCTATTCAATTAATTTTGTCCCCACGATATGAATCGATCTGCCGTTTTTATAATTAATTCTGTATCTCGTTGATGAGCTTGCAAATCTTTAAAAGCATTTTGCACCAATGACGTGCATTTTAGTAAATCTATTCCAGCCATTTGAAGGTATCACGATAAAGGTCCAGTAATTGAAAATAAATAAATAAAAGTGTAAGCTATTAATATGTTCTTATGTTTTAAAACTTCTTCTTTATATTTACTTGCCATAACTCGTATATCACTTGAAACTTTTTGATTCGTTTCAAGTCCCAAAGCCTCAAATCAACAAAAAGGCAAGATTCAAAGTCATTAGAACTACCAAAGATTGTAGTTAAAGCCTTTTCTTTGGCCCACCATCTGGTTTCGCCAATGCTTTGAAGTATTTTTTTCTTTGCATCGTAAGAAACCATATTCCATATTTGCATTCTCTTATATGATTCCTTAAAAAAAATTAGCAATAGAATTCAGCAGTTTGCAACTTAGATATTAGTTTTAAGAATATCACCAATCACTAAATTGAGAATATGACCGTGGCACCATATGTGAATATGATTTTGGTTTTCCGCTTTTAGTTTTGAAGAAAAACCGTTGTTTTGCCCTTGCATGTTCGCCGCACCATCTGTTAAATCTGCGATACAATTTTCAAACCATGCTTTTTTAACAAGCTTGAAATCATGTCGTAAAATCCCTGCCCTGTGACTTGACACGAAGTTAAAGCCAAAAGACGTTCATGCACGGCTTCATTGTGTACATATCTAAAAAAAACATTAGAAGCGATGACAAGAAATATATTAGATATACATACCGAATTATTAATTAACATTAGTCACTCACAGAAATATCTTGGGGTTTGTCTACTTCAATAGAAAACATACCAGCATTGCTTATTTCTTTACAGATTTCTTCTTTAAGCATTGATGTTGTAATTGCTTTGACAGAATTCAGTGTTGATTTTGAAATAAATATCAAGAAATTCCCTTGCCCTCGTTTTCCACCTTGATCTCTATATTTTTCGCTTTTAACTATAATTTTATCCAAATGGTCTTTTAAAACAATGTCATATTTTCTTAACAATAAAATTATTTCCAGAAAATTCCCATGGTACAACGTCTCATCCACGGTTAATTTTATAGACGATTTCAGAAAAAAAATATATAATCATCGAAAATTGTGTTTTTGGGTTTGTCCGACTCCCAAGTACCAGGAAACATGAAAATTAAAATCCTTCATGTAGGGCATTTTAGATAGTGGCCCAAAATTTGTCAAAAGTTTGTAATTTTTTCCAAACACTAAAAATATTAAATTAAAAAAAAACTTTTTTCAGGATAATCTCGAGAATAATAGAGCGTTTAATTTTAAGTTAAAGCGCCTCAAAAAGTTTTTTGTACATCCTATAGTTTTGTTCTAAAAAAAATCTTACTTCACGAAATACACTCACAGGCAAAATAATCGATCCACACAAATTTTCGATGAATTTCAATCGCAAATAACTTTATTATTTGATTTCGGATTTAAACGAATATTAAAGAATATTGTAGATAAATTAATGGAGAATCGCTTACATTTTAAAAATTTACTAAAAATAGACTAACGTTTATAATATACAGGTTTAAACAAAAAGATGTTTTTTACCATAAGTTTAAGACTCTGTAGATTGGCAAAACCGTATATTTTCTAAATTAAGTTTTAATTATCAAGTCACGTCTATTCTTAACAGCTTTGTCCTGTCTACCTGTCAAAAAGACTGTGATTGAGGTGATTGCATACAACGAATAATTTTTCCTGGATTACCAACACAGAAAGTAAACCTACCAAAATTGGATGACATAATAATAATACCCAATTACTAATTAATGCGAAATTCGCAACCTCCACCAGGTAGAAATTAATTAGTCGCCAACAGTTTCCATAAGAACAGCAAGCATAGCCTAAGAACTCATAAATGGGGGCTTACATAAGCAGTAATTAAACACTCCAATTAACTGTCATTTACGATCTTCTAGGCGAGATTTACCAGCCAGGGTAAAAATTCGGATCCACCAAATACAGGCAATGCTGTGCAGTGGCGGGATACGTAGGAGAACTGAAAGGGGGTAAAAAAAACCCTGGGAAATCAGTGTAAGGCGTTGCCGATGGGGCCAGTCATACGTTCGTCATATTCGTATTCAACAATAAAAGAATGAAAAACTTATGACACTGTTGCCGCCCATGTGCGATATACTTTAATGTATTAAAGTTTATACATTTTGTTTTAGGAAACAAATACCTCAATTTGTTTAAGTATTTTGACGAAGTAGTTTCCAGTTGCTTTGGGCAAAAGTATAAGTACATAACAAAAATGCATGCCCTAGTTCATAATGTTCCAGAGTGCATTGAAAAACATCAATGAGCACTTGCTTTTTTTTCTGAACAAGCGTCAGAACAAGTGCATCACTATTTTAAAGTTTTCAAAAAATTTTAATTCAAATTCAAGGAATTAGCAATCTTTTAAATAAAAACTGTTAAGGAGTATTTGTTATTATAATAGCCAGCACATATAATTACATGTATTTATTTAGACATTAAAACCTATTAAGTTAATTGAATTTGATTAATATGTATTATTTTGTTAAGTAAAAATAATCAGAAATTTTTCATAACAAAACTATAGCGTCTGCAGAAGACTTTATAAGACGTTTTTTACTTAAAATTTAACGCTTTATTATCCTTAAAAAAAGTTTTTTTTAAATTTAAAATTTTTAGTTTTTACAAAAAATTTAAAAATTTTGACATATTTTTGGGCTACTATCTAGAATGCCATACATGAAGGATTTTAATTCTCATGTTTCCTGTTACTTGGAAGTCCGATAAACCCGAAAACACTAGTTTCGATGATTATATATTTTTTTTCTGAAATCGTGTATAAAATTAACCGTGCATCTGCTGAAGAATATGCAGCTTCATTAAGGTTACCCCTAAATCAATATAATAACATTTCAGACCTATTATAAAAATAACAACAAATTAACTTACCTATAGGAAAGCCCTCGTTTAATACACGATCAAAAATTTGACGGTTTTTCAATACTTCGGTGTTTCTTGTTTGGTGGTACCCACTTATCATTAATTTGTCAATATTTCTTTCTTTCTGGTGCATAAAGTAAGCATTACAGCTAAAGCGGAGCGCATTTCCGTCCACTATTAGGCAACCTATATTACACCGCGCAGCCGCATATTCAAACAATTTAGCGCGTAATTTATATGAATGAAATTTTTTGTGGCCTTTTCACCAGCCATCTTAATTAATAATCATTCGATCGCCGCAAAGATCCTGATAAGCCGCTGTGTTGCGTTTAAATGTGTGAATTGTTTAATTATTGCAACCGCAGTGTCTTGATCTTGCTTAGGTAAGTTATTAAGACATAATAAGGGGTCTGCTCGATAATTGATTATTATTTTACCTTGCTTAGATTGAGTTCGTTCGCTAAGACTAATTGTAGAAAATCATCTGTTGGGTTATTAAAAGTGGAGTTGCAAGGACCCAGTGTGTTTTGTTTAATTCCTTCATCCAGCGACACCCTCCTTACACCCTGAGATAATCGGACACCTTACTGTGTTCCGCTACAACTATTTGGCTACCAACTAGGGCCTAAGCTTTTGCAGCAAGGCTTTTGGGAGGAAGGAATTTACAATGCCTACAGTAAGAACACCAGGAAGGGCAGTGACACGAAGCATGACTGCAGGAAATACAGAAGAAGGACAAGTCCACCAGCAAGTCCAACAGCCAGCAGCAGCCCCCGAAACTTTGTGGCTAAACCCAGGATCCAGTAATATGGAGCCACCAACTCACTCTGCAGGAAGCCGAGACTCTCAGTCTAGAGTAAGAACAAGTCCATTGGTACCAGGTGAGCACGTTCCAACTACTACTTTTCCGGCGGCTGGCCCGTCCAGTCATTATTATGGGGGCAACACAGCATCTAACGTAAACCCAGCAGCTTCTTTGCTTGGTATGGGGTTACCACCTCCACATGCTTATGCATGGCCAAGTGAACCTAGAAATCCAAGCGTGTCAAACTTACAATATGCCAATTCTAATAATGTAAACCCCAACTTTAATTGTGTTAGTAATGTTTTACCCCAATATTATGAGAATGTAAACCCGAATTATGCGAATAACCTACCTATGCAGCGAAATTTTTCAAAAATTCTTGAAGTTTTGCCCAAATTTGATGGCAATTCAGTCAACCCAGTCGATTTTGTTAATCGTCTGGAACAAACAATATCCCTTTGTGATGTGCCTTTTGCTTACATTTCACTTTATGCCCATAACTTATTCCTTGGAAAAGCCAAAATATGGGCAGATGCGTTGTTGCACACATACCCTGATTTTAATACTTTTAAAACAGCCTTTTTACAACAGTTTTGGGGGCATACAAGGCAGACGCATTTAAAACTACAGCTGGAAGTAGGGAAGTACAATGGACAACTATCGTACGTAGAATATTTTCTGTCACAAATTGCGGCCGCAAAACATCTACAGGGCTACTCAGAAATAGAGCTCGTTGCTCTTGTGACTAGGCACTACCCGCCGGTTATTTCGGCATCTCTTATCGGTACTAGAACTATAGCTGAAGCTCTTGATAGGTTAAGGCTAGCGGAGAACTACGAAACGAATTTTGATCTGTCAAAAAGTAGTTCACAAAATAAACCAAGTAGCTCTGACCAAAGATAATACACCCCATAGATTGGAAACTCTCCCACCACTGCCATCTAGAGCTACAATACCTGAACTATATCTATTTGTTAATTGCAGATATCTGTACAAACGCTATTTGCAAATGTCAATGTAAATCATAATTATTGATGTCAATCATAATCTTTGAATTATTAAATACATTTTTGCGCCTTAAAAGTGATAAAACGTGTTAATGGTTGTGAAATGTATTGTTGTTGGGTGCGGAAATGTAACCAATTTGTAAGTATTGACTATCCTGCCGTCCTAAGCCAAAAAGACTCATCTCGTTATTATTATTAACTTATTTTCTTAGCAAATTTTAAGTACTATATCTCCTAAAAATTTCTAATTAAATTGAACGTACCTATCTTATGAAAAAAAAATAAAGCGCTATAATTTATAAAGTAAAAATGTGGAGTTGCGTCTTTTTGGCTAAGCTCGGCAGTATCGCTCTAGCGTAAAAAAAAAATTTAGGATTGCTTGTTTAATGGTAATTTAGTCCAGGCCAAGCCCAGGCTACTTATGGTTGTTTCAAAACCAAGAGTTGGCAAGATGAATTTTTCACGGAACTTGCCATAAGTCCACACTCAAAAGCCTTGTATAAGTAGCCTGGACTAATTTACCAAATTTTGCAATATTCTCTTATTATTGAAGAATTTAGACTAATATTTCTTAAGTTTACACTCCCCAAACAAAAACATATTCATGTATACCCATTATGTATTTAATATGTACAGTTACGGAAAGAAGTAATGTCCATTTGAATGCTCCATTGTAATTGTTCGGAGGCATTCGGAAATGGTCAACATCTGCCTCTTAGGGATTTATTTAAAAATATGTTTATATTTAGAATTTACTACCTGCTCGTATTGAATTAATTATTTTGGGTACCTACCTATGTTACATATTTAACTGTATTTTTATTAAATCGTTAATTTTTTGATATATTTTTGTATAGTTTTATAAACATTTATTCTAGGAAAAAACTTTTAATAAGAACTTTTTAGGCTATAAATTATATTATCAAGTTGTAGTTTTTTAAAACTTACTTTACATTTTTCAGAACTAGCAATGATTCAATACACTATTTTAGGAGTAAAAACAAATTTTATTATTTGTTGCACTTTTATGTGTTAAAATTAAAAACATACTCTCTAAAAATGAATTAGTCAAAAATTACTAATTTAATAGTTAATAGTGG